TCATATCATTTCCGATTCAGTAACTAATTTTATATAGAAATGCATGATTTTTAGACAAAATTTAAAGCTAAATTATAAAGACATATAAAAAAAATTAGAAAAAATGATAACAAATTATGGTATTATTGCTAAAGAAAACCAAATTCCAAATTAACTGTCATAAAAAAATTCGGTTGTAGGATGTTCGTAAATAATAGTTAATAATTTTCACTAATAAAAAAAAGCGATTTTGAATAAAAGAATTTACACAAAATATATTGAAAAAGAATTTCACTTTTTATAGATAATAGAAGATGGAATCAATAGCAGAAAGAATATCAAAAGTAAGGGAATTGATTGGGACCTTGTTACAGAATACGATCGCAAAATAGAGGATAAATTAATAAAACAATTGTTGATACAGTTTCCATCACACAAGTAAGTTACAATTTTCTAAATTCTGAAGTGATCTCACTCTAAAAAGTAAAAATTAAATCAATCTTGAAAAAGAGTGGCTCAATTTTCAATCTTAAGAGTGAGATTTCACTTTTTAGAGTGACAATTTATTCTAAACGTTTTAGAGAGTGTGATTAATGATTAACTACTAACAACAAGTCAATAATGAGATTTAATCTTTCAGGTTTATTGGAGAAGAAACAGCAGCAAAGGAAGGCTGCCTACCTCAACTAACCAATGATCCTACGTGGATAATAGACCCGATAGATGGTACTACCAACTTTGTACACCGTTTTCCACATACATGCATCTCCTTAGCGTTATTAGTAAACAAAAAAGTGGAAATTGGGATAATATACAATCCTCTTATGGGACAATTCTTTTCGGCGAGGAGACACTGTGGTGCCTTTCTTAATGGAAAATCCATAAAAACTTCTGACATGAGAGGTAAGTTCACACTTAAAATATGTTCATATTCGAATCACGCACACAATAGCATGATTCATGAAGCATGTAATACCATAGACACACATCAATCTAATTTATTACACGTGTTACTATATCATGGCCTTGCTAAAAATGAGTGTAAGAAATTCATTATTTTACGGTCTAGTGGAAGGTTATCCAATATCCATTAAAATCGCAGACTGAGCAATTTTAATAGACATCAAAGTTAATGTTGTGTCCTTCATAAAGCAATTACTTTAAAACGTGGTTTAGCTACAATCTGTCTGTTTGCTTTATCCATCCAAATAATTACTTCACATGTAAGAAATACTTAAAAAAATTAATATATATAATTATATATGTCTATTCTTTCCAGACATATCTCAATCATTAGTGGCAATGGAACCATGGCTCGCAAAAGATCCTCAGTATTTAGCTAGTGTATATAGTAGAATGCACGCTTTAGTACAAGGAACTCATGGGTAATATATTTTTTTAAGATATTTTAAAATATTCTTTAAGATATTTTAAACGTGTAATAATGTATATATCAATTAATTCAAAAACTATTAATAATAAATTGCTTCTCTTTCAGAATAAGATCACTGGGTACAGCAGCGCTCACGTTGTGCTATGTAGCAATGGGAGCTGTGGAGGCATATCATATTGAAGGTATCGATGCTTGGGATGTTGCAGCAGGGAAATTAATAATCGAAGAAGCAGGTGGAGTTGTGATAGATACCGATGGTAAATATGACTTTTGTCATTAACACTTAATCTTACATTATTATTCCAGTAATTTATTTTTCCAGTTTTTAGTCCAGCTTCGACACTCTCAATAAATCTTATTTTATTATATCAAAAAAATTCTGTTAATATAAAAAAATTATCATTTATAGGGGGAGAACTAGATTTAATGACTCCGAAGGTTATAGCGGCATGCAATCAGCAAATTGCACAACAACTTGTAGATCTCATTAAGAAAGCTGATTGCGAGATACTTCACAAAAATTTAAATTAATTATGCTGATATTATATTCAGTGCTCATTAAATGTCATATTATATAACAACGCATATGTATGCAGACTTAAAAACACAGTATTACTAAACGTGACTTAAGACTGCATTAGCTTTACAAAAGATTGTATTTTTAGGACTGATGTAGCTCATACTTTTCTCTGCACTGATAGTTACTATATATTTCAATAATTATATTAAAATTAATAATAATGTTCACAATTATTAATAATAAATAAATATTGTATTTGTAAATCGACTTTCAATTTTTAATGCAATCAATGCCATAATAAAAAGATTTTTCTCCCATCTTATAATCTGTATCCATACATACATAACTATTACAAATAATAATAGAGAATTCAGTTGCACAACACTAAATTAATGTACATTAAAAAAAAACTGCTTTATATAAAATATCTAAATACAATGATATAATATAATAAATTTTGATAATGAAATAATACATATTCATTCTGTTAAATAATGTGATAAAATTATTGAACATTTAAATATTTATATATTTCTGTTGACTACATAGAATTTTGCATCTTTCGTCAGCAGACTTTATGATCTTTGAACTTCAGTATAGATTTTTATATTGTTTCAGACTGTATAAAAATCTAAAAAAAAATTCTTGTGAAAACTTTAATAATGAGCTTTTATTATCATAAAAGTTCGATTATGTTATTTATTTACATATTTAAATTTATCTACTAGACTTCACAAATGAAATATCGACTGTATCGTACCTTCAAAATCCTATCTGACCAATAAAGAGTTAAAATATTTATATGCTTTTATATTTAACTTTTCTTGCATAGTAATTTTTAACATGCATTAATTTAGTGTAATGCAAGTCATCAAATTCTGTTATAAGTCTAATTCTACTAAAGTCTGATTTTGCATTTTCTGATTAATTTGCGGTTAGGCTTAACCTGATGTTTATCCAATGAGATTCATCTATGACGTATCATGATTAAAGCTCACAATAAAATATGAAGTAAAATTTAATCACAAGTTAACCGAATAATGAAAAATTGGGCTTAAGAAAAGAGCATAGATATAGTTATCACAATATATAGTAATCATACCTGTGGACCCATATTAGGTGGCATTTGCTGTGGATGGGGTGGATAACTCTGCTGTTGGGGTGGTGGTTGTTGTGGTGGTTGCGACATGGGTGGTCCACCTGGTGGTATGGGTGGACCACCTTGATAACCCTGTGTTGGACTATGAGGATGATGCTGCGGCGGTCCCATTGGACTACCTTGTGCATTAGATGGGGATGGTGCCTGTTGTGGAGGTCCCATGGGACTAGGTGCTTGTGGTGGTGGCATAGGCGAAGATTGTGGCGAAGGACTCGCCATATTATTATGTTCAAAAGATTCCAGTTTATCTGAGGCTTACTTCCTGAAAATATTACAACAAAATGCAAATGTAAGAACCAATTCTAAATTCTTTCTTGGCTATTTACTTCAAAAATTTCTATTATTTCTTTTACTTCAAAGAATTTGGAGAATAGATTAGTGCATAATAAAATAGCTGTTATACATATACACACACATACACACACACCTACCCACACCCATCCACCTACCCACCTACCTACACACACACACACACACACACACACATACACACACACACACACACACACACACACATACACACACATACACACATACATACATACACACACACTAAATTAGCAAAGTTAAATATAAATCCATATACATATTGTAAACAATTAAATATCCAAGAATGATATTGTTACTGTTATTATTTAACAAATATTATTTCATTGTCAAAGTTGATTATATTATGCCACTGCATTTAGATGCATAAAACAATCTTTAATATGCACTAATCCATTCCACTGTAGCACAAGTCACTATTAATTAAGTGCGTAAAGTGCAATTCAAATATTTCAAATAGATGCACTTAAATGAGATAATCTCTCATTTAAAAAATACCAACTCAAGAGAATTCAAGAGTTTTGTATCCGAGAGGCTTACAACAGAACATATTCTACCTCTCTCTTTCCCTCTACCTATCTCTTTCTCATCTCTCGATGCCGAAGGCGGAACTGTATTAAATTCGAAAAGAGCAAGCAGGATAACGCAACGCGCTCGAGAACACTGTGCCGATCACTCGTCCAATTCATCTCATAGCAAAATATGATTTCATAATTAGAAACGAAGCCAGAAGGTAAACCGGAGCTGACGAAGCGCGGTGTTCTCTACGGTGCACGTAGCCCCGTTGCCAACGGTGCCGCCCATCTCAAGGTTCTACGTACCGTTCCGGGCTCCACGTTATCACAACGGACACCCTGGAATCATTTCCGCGTATGTCACTGTACGCGTGCACTTTTTATCAGAGATACGAGAACACACGAAATCTACGCTGTGCCGAACGACTCCGAGAAACGCACGCTGTCGGCCATATTTCCACTCTCTCGCCGAGTCGCCGTAGCGGCAGCGTTGAGATTCGCCAGCCAATCGGCACAATCGCCGAACATGGCGATCGCAACGCTTCCGCAGCGCACCGCAGCGAGTGAAGTGAGTCGAGAAATGCGTTCGCACGAATAAACGCGAATAGTGCGAACCAAGTATTGGGTTGTCCAGAAAATTCGTACCGACTAACCTATATAATTTAATAAATATATACTAAAATTTAAATCTTCTGCGTTTCAAAATCAACACGAACTTTCCGGACAACCAATATTAACATATTAATGAAAAATGGAATATTCTTCAATAAAAATATCCGTCGCGATACATGTATATTTTCGTAAATGGATTTCGAGCAAAACAGCGTTGAATAACCGACAAATTAATTTTCTTTACGAATATAAAAAACGATAAATCGATCGATAGTTAAATTCAATAATCCCGGGAAAAATGATTCATATAATAATTATATTTAATTACAAAATTAAATAAAATTATATATATGTAAAATTGACATAATTTATATACAATTATATATAATTAAATATTATATGTCCATATATATAACATTTTTTCTCGGGATCGTAATATTCGTAATAAAAGTGCAGTTATTGAAACATGGCATGGCTTATCGAGCTGTGCTATAGACAATACGTATTTGTGCATCCTCAAAACATTCCAACGAAAAATGATTCATCGATTTTTTATATTGATTTGATACTGAATTGATAATTTCACATCAATTTGACATCAACGTCGGTCATTTCTTACTGAGATCCGTTCAAATTTAAAGTCCAAGACTAGAAAGTGTAGAAACTATAAAGGTTTTAGAACGCACTCCAGAACAACAAAATGGCTCTAACCAGAGAGTCTGGTAGGGTGTCAATTCAATTGTTGAAAAACAAAGCATGTTTGTACACTGCAGTGAGATGTTCTTCCGACAAACGTAAGTAACTATGCATGTCCTTTTCAATTTGTTTCTCATCATATTTTATATAAATAAAGTGCTGCTCCACCAAGTACTGTGACGAGGTTAGGATTGCTGTTATTATATAATTAAATTATTATTAAATTAAAATTATTATTATTACTATATTATTATGTTATTATTATTATATTGTTATTATTATTATTATTAAATTGTTTATTATTATTAAATTGTTGTTTCATATTCAGTGAAATACACAGTGAAATCTAGCATACAGATGCATTGGAAAAATATATAAAACATGTTGAATATTAATAGATTTATCTTGTAATAATTATTATATATATAGCAAGGATGAAACTGATCAGTGTTTGTCATCAGCGTTTCCATGGAACTACCTCTGGCAGCCAAAAAAATATTCAGAAAAGGAACATGACAAGATTGCTGAGAAATATAATTTGCATCCTAAGGAATATGAAATTAATCTTCCTGAAAAATGCCTTGGCGACTATCCGAAATTACCCATGATAGGACCAGCTGCTAAAGATCCATACTATCCATATGACATACCGATATTTAGGAAAAATTATCATGAAACAGTGAGTTTATGTATATAAAAAATTTCTGAAATTTATTTATCATGTTCTTATATATATATGTATACATATATATATATATATGTATACATATATATATATATATGTATACATATATAATCTTTTGTTTCCTCCTTTTAGCTACACGCTAATTTTGAAATTATGGGTGAAGATCGTTTCAGCTATGGCTATAAGTACAGAATTAATCCATATGTGGGATCTGCAATATGGCTTGCAACTATAATTATTTTAGCTGGAATCACTTATTTGATAAATCCTTATCCGACTGTTCAAATAAGGGTTAGTACTCCAAAGCATTTTTTATATCAATGACTACATTCAGCAGAGAAAACTAATCAGTGATTGGTTTAATTAGATATTTTAATACTCTAACAATATATTTCAGATGGAGAAACAGTTTCCCAAGAAGGGTGCAGTACATTATTCATTTGAACCAGCAGATTCGTGAAAATAGGACGAGTAGCCTCGAGTAAATATAATAGATATACATATGAAAAACAGCAGTATAATGTATAAATACATATGAGTCGTAATATATACATATATATGGATAGTATTTTTATTACAACACATATGTCTTTGTTGCGTTACATATTTCTGCAAAAATTTTTTGTCACTTGTAACTTTAGTTTCTCTCTCTTGTCTTTCTCTATTGTATTATAATCTTTAAATTGTATTTTATGAAAAAGCAATAAATTGCTAATTGATACTTTATCATGATTAAATAATTCGTTGTCTATATATATATATATACAACTCTTAATCCTAATTTCATAATATTTAATAAAATATAAAGAACTGCTGATATTTTCTAATAAAGCATATTTGCAACTAAAAATTGCATTTAAAATTTAATTGATGAAATGATATTTAAAAGATTTAAACATTTTTTAAATTCAGTTTCTTCCATTAAGAGAATACTTTAAAATGAAATATCCTATTATTACTATTAAGCTATTATTTTTCATAAATGTTACATAGATAGGCATCACACATATACACAATTATAAATATTTGGATCTTCAGTACACTGATTTCTCTTTGTTTGCTTTTATTAAGATAAGCAAGAACGCACTTAGCTATAAAACTGCAAAAGTACCATCGACTAACACATTTTTATTTCATTTCTTCGTACATTCATTATAAAGAAAGCAATAACATTTGATCCAAAACTCTTTACGCACACAAAACGTCCGTAATATAAAGGAAAGAGGAAAATATATATCTGTGTAAGATATACAAGTTTCGCGAAGTGACAGTAATTGCGTCGACATGGAAAGATCGTCCGAATACAAATTGTATCCTTCGTATCTGTGACGTACACGTCGCGGTATATGGACCGTACTAAAAATACAGATAGAAAAATATGACGATAGGCTACGGAATAAAGTTATACATATGATGAAAACGCGTGTGAGCATGATGTATATTTCATCCGTGTGTTTCTGTTGAAACTTGCCACGGCTATATTGTTACAGTCAAGAGGGACGTCGTGGTGACACTTAGTAATATCACGTACTTATTTGATATGCTTAATCAATTGTTCGCTTTTGTTTTTTTTTCTCGACAATTGTATATACTTCGTTATGGTGCAGTTTCGTAAATCCTTACGAATGATACATATATATTCCATAAAATATTGAATGGTGTCTCCGTCGTCACATATTCATCTTCCTCTCGACACGTTTAAACGGTCTAAAAAGTACGCCCTGTATGCTTCTGAGAGATATACGAATATTGAATATACGTGTTATCACGAATATATAAGATTCAACGCCGTCAATTAGAGAAAGCGATCGAGGAGAACGTGTCTCGATCGGATCCCTTCTTGCATCGCGATATATGATGTACATTTTAATAAATTCCAAGAGTTGCAATCCCATTGTCGCCTGCGAAGTAGCTGTATTCATACACCGAGCCGAAGGGAATTACCTGTTAAATGCAACGAGATATTGCTTATATTCAAAATGTGAGCGCTTGAAACATCGATTTTATTATATCGCTATACTTTCTCTTTCATTTCTCTTTTTACGTTCCGACTGAATTGCTAATTTCTTTATTGACTATTGTTCCACGGAGACGTCCGGATACTGGACGCAAACTTAGATTTGTATCCTACACATTGAATTGTATGCGCACCTTGAAAAGCCACTTCTTTCAGATTATAATTAACTTTATACTTTTAATTAAAACATCTCTCAACGCAGTTAACAATCGTGATTATTTGAAATGCACGTAATTTGTTTCCTCTGCACTCTGCGTGTATGTTTGTTTTTTACAGGATGTTTTAGAAATAAGTGACAAAATTTTAAGAGCATATTCTATTTATAGTAAGAACGAGAAAAAGATCATATATATGTATGAATGAGTTGGAAAACATTTTTTTATAAAAATATAAATTTTAATATTTTTTTTTAAATTCTTCTTCACTGTCATTTTAGGTCTTTCTGATATTGATGACCTTTAAAAAAAATTGTCCCGATTGCCCATCAAAGAGCTAGGTTTAAGAACTCTTTTATTTTAAATTTCCCTGTTCACAGCGACATCCTGGGAAACAATAATCAGAGTGATTTCCTGTTGCCTTCTCTGCTTTCCAAATTATTAATAAATTATAAATACTTTTTGTTTACGGCAAAAATTGGCAAAAATACTTTGTCAAAAATTGCTAGAAACTTTCTTTCGCAATAATACGTTTCATTCAAAATATTAAAAAATTTTAAATTTTATCACAAAAAGCGCGATATAATTTTTGAGAATTTCCACTGCAGAGAGAGTAACTAGAGCATCGAGTTTTAAAATGTTCTTATAAATAAAAATCCAAAGAGTTTAAATCGGGATAACGTGCAAACCATGCAATGATCCCCATTTATCAATCCAATTGGTATAATTATTATCAAAATTCTACTATAAATAAAAAACATATTTGGACAGGAAGCATTCTTAATTCTTAATGTTTATATGATTTTTTTATTCTTATGATAAAAATGATA